GCAGTAATGGGGAGAACCCAGATAAAATCCTGATCACTTTGCCAGTGAGTCTGTGAGGCCACTGCCTCTTTTTTCTGGCTGACAGAAGAGGGCTTCCTGGTCTTACGTGCAGAGTATTCTAGGGCCTCTCAGCCACTGCCTGATGGGATCTGCATAGGGGATTATTGATGAAGGCAAGGTGAGGCAGCTCTTTACAGTAACACATGCCTCGCTCTGGGACAGCGGCCAGGCAGCTAATTAGAGAGCCCAGCAGCTGTCCAGCCTTTCAGGCAGCGGGCAGCAGCTACTGAGTGCCGGAGGTGGGAATGGGAGGAAAGGGACATGGGACCAGAGACCACCCTCCAAGGTGGTGGAGTTGGGTGGTCAGGGTTTGCTCAGAGGGGGATTTTGAGAGGGGCATGTGAGATAGAGTGGGCTAGATAGGGAGAAGGAAGGGGGAGAGGAGAGGGACAAGACAGGTGGTCTCCAAGTGAGACAGAAGAGATGTCAGGCAGACAATGCAGCTTCCAAGCTCAGAGCAAGGGGCACAGAGGGGAAAGACAGGGCCCGGTGGGGTTGGGGCCTGGCTCCCATTTCCACACACCTTCCCCATGCCAGGCAGGCCCCCACGGCCTGGGCCTCTCCTTGCTTCCCAGGGGAGCTGGACGGACACAGGCTTTTCCCTCAGGGGATCTGGAATACTGATTGCTTTTGTAGTTGAGCTTGGCCCCTCCTCGGTGTAGGAAGTTACCAGATCCATTTGTGCTCAGGTCTTTTCTTACTCTAGGATAAGTAAAAGTGGCTGTTCTGAGTCATGTGGGAAGAACTGGGGGCTTTGAGTAACCAGAGGGTTCCCCAGTGGGCCTTTAGGCATGTTCTCTACTTTGTGGGCACCTGGGTCAGAGTGTGGTGTAATAAGAAATGTATTCGGTCTTTGTCCTAGGTCCTGGTCATAGAGCTCCTAAAACCCTTGACATTTCCTGAGTGAAAGGAATGCCTTTTGTTATTCATAATAAGCACCTTTGTGCTAATGAAGTTACTGGGGAAGTGGTGGGGTGGTGGAGGGGCTATACAGCCTCAGGATGGAGCCAGTCACCAGAAAGACCAAATGCTTAGAGGATTGAGGATTAGAACATTTGACCCCACCATCCAACCCCCAAGAAAGGTGTGGGAAGGTGGAGATCAAGCTACATAAAAACTCCTGAACAAGATTTGATAGGTTTCTGGGTGGCTGAACATGTGGCGGTGCTGGTGGGTGACCGCCAATACGTCACCCTATCCATCTCTGCATCTGGCTGTTCATCTGCACCCTTTATAATAAATCAGTAAAGGTAAGTGTTTCCCTGGGTTCTGTGAGCCATCCTAGCAAATTAATAGAACCCACGGAGGGGGTCAACCTGGTTTGTAGCCAATTGGTCAGAAGTGTAGGTGATGATTTACTGTTTGGCCTCTGAAGTGGGGGCAATCTTGTGGGACTGAGCCCTCAAAATGTGGGGTCCACTGCTATCTCGGGATAGACAGCATCAGAGTTTAAATGAACTGTAGGAGACCCAGTTGGTGTCCGCTGGAGAATTGTTTGGGGTGGGGGACCCCCTCCATGCCCACCCCATATCTGGTCACAGAAGTGTTCTGCTTTGAGTGTGAGAGCAGAAGGAAAAACACTTATTTTGTTTTACAGGAAGATTTGGGGGAGGGTTAAGGAAAAGGAGAGTGGGGGTAAGAAAACAGAGGTAGTGTTTGCCTGCATACTTTCTGTCTCCAGTGTTAGGTTCCAGGCCAAGGAGATGATGAGGGGCCAGGGAGAGAGATCTGGTTTTTAGGTTCCGGTCAGAGAAGCAGAGACTCAATCCTGCAAGCCCAGCTTACCTTAAATAGTTATAGGAAAGGAGAGAAAATGATGCAAAGGGAATTTCCTGCCAGTAGCCTCTTTGGGAAGTGAATCCTATGTGCATGAAAACTGATGTGGGTTTTGAGAGTGCCAGCACATTGTAGAAATAACAGAACAGGAGTTGTTATTCTCTGACCTGAACCTGCGCTTGGCCCCTTGCCCATGTAGGAGCCTGCAGTATCTCCCCTGATGCCTGGGACGGTCTGTTCCTGCCCCAGTCTTCCTTGCGTGATGTTGAACATGTCTTCTGTATTGTGCAAACCCAGACTGCCCACTCTGCCTCTCTTCATTCTCTGGTGGTGCAATGACTCCTGGAGATGGGAGAAAGGAGAGTGAGCACCCTCCTTGCTTCCTTCACCTGCAGAGACAGCCTTGCCTGTAGTAAATCGACATGTATGGCGCTTTGTGGGAGACAACCCATCTGTGATGGTCACCCAGAAATTAGAGAAAAACACAAGACATTGCTATGTTTGATTAGTAACACTAGATGTTTCAGTTGCCCAAGAATTTAGATGTAGCTGGGCCCTTCTTCACTTTGCCTGTCCATTCATCCAGCAGAAATGTTATGATCTCAAGGAATTCATAGTGTGGTGGGGGAAATAGACACAAAGAAATAATTTTAAGATGGGACGACATGTTTCAGTTGAAGGATGGTCAGATCCCCCTGGGAACATCAGTGATGGAATGACCTGGAGGCTGTGGGATGGCATCGTGAAGGAGTGAGGAGGGAGCAGGGTCTGGAAGAAGGAGTCAGAATGGTGGCTGCAGAGGAGGGCAGGAGAGATGACAGAGCTTGAAACAGGCCGGTGGTCTCTGCTTCTTCATGCTCCCAGCAGCGTCTCAGGCATATTTACGAGAAGCTGCATGGACAAACTCAGCTGTAAGTTTGCAAAATAAGCAGCTTATTTGGAACGAACTAAGTAGATTACATTGACTTGAAGACCCTTGCGTGCAGACATGTGCCTTAAGGATGAGATTTGGGTGGGAAGCAGTTCGAAGGCACGTCGTATGGGGACAGGGTGATTCTGGAGGCTGAGGACTGGGATTTGAATCAAATGTTTGGATTTGGCCAAATCTCTTACTGTCCTGAACCCTCTGTGTTTTCATTTCTAAAATAGAGGAGACCATTTCTGCCCTCCCTGCCCCACAGGAGCCTGAGAAAATCATGAGAGAGGATCTAAGTTCCATCCATATGTTAGTTCCTATAAAAGCTCATCATTCATTCATATGCTCCAAGAACCTCTGGTTCAGGTCCTGCAGTCCTCAAAGGAGCCTCATGTCCTCTGTCCCCTGGGACCTACTCTTGGGGAATAGGGAGTGTCAGTGAGGCCTAGGGACAGCTTATGCACTTGGAGGAAGAGGTGTGACCCCTGCAGCACCATCATCTCTTCCTCCCTGCAACTAAGTTTTTCCTGGGGAAAAAGCCTGCCACTCAGGAAGCGGGAGGTGTCTGGTGGGATGCTGCCCCGAAAAGGAGTCTGTTCTGAGTGCTGGGGCTTCATGTGCCAGGGCTGCACCCCAGCAGGCAGTGGGCTTCCAGAGCTGGCTGCAGAAACCCTCAGGCTGTGCCGGCAGGATGTGGTCTTTGGTTTCTGTTTCTGTTTTAGTTCTGACTTGTGCCGTGGATGTGGCTGAGGGCCTAGGGTAGGGGAAGTCGCCACAGGTGGGATTGAACGCCCCAGGCACATGGTCCTTGTGGTGCTGGTGGAGAGGGAGTCCCAGAGGGTTCGGACATGCCCCGTTAAAGCCTTTTCCTCAAGGTGATAGGTACGTGCCGAGGTGACCCCTGTCCGCCATCCGGCAGGCTGGGAGAAGCGGGAAAGATGGACAGGTCACGGAGGGTTGGAGGGTCCCGTTTGTGAAGGAGCTGGGGAGGGGAAGGCAAGGCTGAGTACAGCAGCCCACTGTGATGCTCTCAGTGCAGAGGCCCCGAGGGGAGACCCAGGGGAGGCACCCCCCGAAACCACACCATACAGTGAGTTTCAGGTCCCCCATTCCTGCCCTTTCACTTCTCCTCGGCTGCCTGGCTGCCTCACAGGTTGTCAGCTTGAGCAAGGGCCCAAGTGGCGTCTACTCAGAGAGCCTGGGGGCCAGAGGGGAGGGAGGAAGGTGGACATGGGCATCAGCACAGGCCAGCGCCTCTGGTCCATCCTGCCTGGTCATCCACGGGGGAGTGCCAGCTCCCACCCCTAGCCACGTACTGTTCTCAACTTCTGAGCGGCTGGGCTGTCCCAGAGGGCCATGCTGGGCCTGAGTGCTGTCCTTGGGCATATGCAGATGGTGCTATATCCAGGGTGTTTTCAGGGAAGCTTTAGCACTTTCATATTAAAACAAAAAATGTTGGAATCTCCATTAAATAGTCAAGTCTTAGGGATAGTATTAAAAATGTGTACATGGCTGGCCAGGCACAGTGGCTCATGCCTATAATCCTAGCACTTTGGGAGACTGAGGTGGGAGGGTTGGCCAAGAGTTTGAGACCAGCCTGGTCAACATAGCAAGACCTGTCTCTACTTGATTTTTTTTTTTTAAGTACATGGCAAAGGGCATTATAAAGTAAGATTTGTATTAGCTTGTAGCCGGCTACTGATGTTCATAGGAAGGGCCTCAACCAAAATAATAAAATGAGATGAATAAATATTGGAGAGGTAGAATTGTACATAGAAAGATTTAGCACACATTTTGTTTTTCTGCATGTGCGGTTGCTCTCTGCTTTCAAAATGCTGAAACAGATGTCCTACATTTTCTGCCTTCCATGAGGTTCTGACCGCCCTTGAGAACAGATGTACCCACTACAGGGTGAAGGTGAGAATGTAATTTGAAGCTGAATGAGGATGTAACTGGATTCTAAAATTATAGCTCCTCTCAGATTCACAAGTGTGCACACATTCAGGCAAGAAGCCCTAAGTCCTAACCCCCGACATGTGGATTGTCCAGGACCATCCCAGACTCTTGTGGCTGGATTAATCAGACCTGAGCAAACTGGATGCAGAGAGGAGGGGGCAGGAGGGGGCCTTGGTGGCCAAGGTGGGGATGAGTGTCTGGTGCTGAGCCCAGAGCCCAGGTCCTTGCAGTGTTTGCCTTGGATCTGCTGGGGGCAGTCTGAGCTGATAAAGGCCTCCTTTTTTATTCCCAGGGACACATGGAAGCTGCCAGCCCCCCAGCCAAGGATCACCTGAGTCCTAGGGCTGATGCTTGCCTACGTTGCTGAGAATGGCACTGAGGCCCAGCCAACAAAGGTTATCCTGGGACACTCCTGGACAAAGATCCTGATGTCTGTTGTGAGCTGCACACTCAAGGGTGTGATAAGTGAGTATGTTACAAGCACCCAGGGGATCACCAGCCCAGTGATCCTGCCTGCTCAGCACCTCATCAGCATGGGCACAAGTCTGGAGGTTCTAGTTCTGAGCCTGTTCCCCATCCAAGGTCCTGTCGCAGGGTTGCAGTTCTGCAATGGGAGGGGAATGTCAAGCAATATCGGGCCATCACATGCTGGAGCCGTCTTATGGCCACATGGCCTCTAAAAGCCAGGCCAGACCCAGTGTGTTAGTTTGTTTCCATGCTGCTGATAAAAACATACCTAAGGCTGGAAAATTTATACAGAAAAAGAGGGTTAATTCCAAGTGTCTGGGGAAGCCTGACAATCATGGTGGAAGGCAAGGGGAAGCAAGTCACATCTTACATGGATGGTGGCAGGCAAAGAGAGAGAGCTTGTGCAGGGAAACTCCCTCTTATAAAACCATCAGATTGGCCGGGCACTGTGGCTCATGCCTGTAATCCCAGCACTTTGAGAGGCCAAGGTGGGCAGATCACAAGGTCAAGAGATTGAGACCATCCTGGCCAACATGGTGAAACTCCATCTCTACTAAAAATACAAAAATTAGCTGGGTGTGGTGACATGCACCTGTGGTCCCAGCTACTCGGGAGACTAAGGCAGGAGAATGGCTTGAACCTGGGAGGCGGAGGTTGCAGTGAACCGAGATCATGCCATTACACCCCAGCCTGGCAACAGAGCAAGACAAAACAAAAACCCATCAGATCTCATGAGACTTATTCACTATCACGAGAAGAGCATGAGAAAGACCTGGCCCCATGATTCAATTACCTCCCACCCAGTTCCTCCCACAACATGTGGGAATTCAAGATGAGATTTGGGGTGGGGACACAGCCAAACCATATCATTCAGATTTGCTGGCGTGAGTGAAGTGAAGTGAGCACCCACACCTGGGAAACAGCATCTACTTTGGCCGTCAGGCTTCAGATCTGTGCAGTGAGGACCGTGCATCACCTGGGACTGGACTCTGCCCAGAAGCCATGAGCTTGTATGTGGTGCTGGTCTAGGAGGCCTGGAGTAGGGCATCCAGGGCCCTGGGAGGTGGGGAGATTTGTGAGCCTTAGTTGCCATAAGAGTGACCACCAGGGGATCTGGAGGAGCAGGTCCTCTTGTTTTTGCCACATGTCAGCAGCAGCATCTCCTCCTCAGCAAGACAAGCTCGAGGTATGGCGAGAGGCTCCTAACTGCACAGCCCTGCTTGTCCTTACAGGCCTTTCTTTCCAGCCTCAGCCCCTGGCTTTTCCTTAATTATGATGCCTTAAAAAATGACAATTGGCTGCTTTCCCAACCCCCAGAGGCCTGTCTGGCCTGAAGGCTGTTATGTCTATGCAGGGCCTGTAGCCTGGTGGGATCAGAGACCTGCAGGAAGGAAGTTCCCTAGAAGGCATGGCAGGCAGAGCTGGGCTTTTGCAATCTTGAAGAGACAAGCTTTTTTAGGAGTTCCTAGGCTGGTCCATGGGAGCCCAGAGCTTCAGATTCCATGCAGGAATTTGCAGGGAGTAGATAAGGAGTAATCAGGTCTTTCTCCACTTTAGGTAGATCTTGACTCTCCTAGTTGAGAGTCTATAATTCAGGGCCAGAATCTGTTTTCCACTCAGCCTGGGCTTGCAAAGTCAGTTTGACTGGAGTGTTTTTCAGGAAGTGTGTTCTTGAGTTGATTTGTAGCCAGGGTGGTGTGAGCAAGCCTAGACTGTAGAAGGGGGGTTGGAGGTAGAGAGATGGCCATGAATGCCTCTGTGGGAGCGTGGTGACTCAGATGGGAGACACATCTCCCCACAGCAATTTATACCATCAGCCTTAAGGCTGTTGTACCGTTTGGTTCAGTGATTCCCCTTCTGGAATTATCCATTAAGAAATCTTATTAGGAAATATTACCAGAGAAGAAAAGGACTAAATTCTTCCATTACAGGCATTAAAGGTAATTCTCGTTATCATCTGCAGTAGTAGAAATGGGAAACAGTTGTTTCCTTTGGACATCTAGGTTAAGTAAATTACAGTTTTCCACTTGCTGGAATATTACACAGCCGTTATAATCATGAGCACAGAGGCTATATAACAACTTGGAAAAATAGTTATGACAAGTAAAAATGGCAGGTTGCAGAATAAGTATATTATGGTGACTTGTAAAATACACACATAGGAAAATATTGCAAAGGAGAAATGATAATCTCTGTTAGCCTGGAATTATGAATGCTTTTTCTTTATTAGAAATGAGGTCTCACTATGTTGCCCAGGCTGGTCTCAAACTCCTGGGCTCAAGCAGTCCTCCCGCCTCAGCCTCCCAAAATGCTGGGATTATAGGTGTGAGCCACCATGCCTGGCCTATGAATGCTTTTTCTATGATGCATGGATTGGCTTTTTAAAAAATAAAATTGAATCCGGATTACTACACAACATACCATTAATAGTGACTTTCTCTAAGATGTGTGATTACAGGGAACTTTTGCTTTCTATGTCATTCTGTAATGTTTAAATTTCAGCACATGTTGCTTTAATCAGAAAAAAATTAAATACGAGAATTAAACATTTTATAAGGCTATATTTCTCAAGAAAGGAGGGAAGAGAGACTGAGGCAGCTAGCATTTATACCTGCCCTCATCTGTGTTTAAGGGCCTGGGCCTGTTTGGGCCCATTCATCCATCCGTTCATTCCACAAGTATTACTAGGTATTATTGCCAGGCACCACTCTAGGCACTGATTACACAGCAGTGAACACGACAGTGCCCCTGCCCTCATGAAGCTTTCATTCTAGTTGAGGAGACACAGACCATAAATAAGAAGCAACATATCAGAAAGTGAAAGTGCTATGTAGAAAATAAAGTGGAATGATGTGAGTGACAGAGAGGCTATTTTGGACTGGGGAATCAAAAGTCCCTGAGATGTGACAGCTGAGCTGAGATCTGAACGGTAACAGCAAGGCAGCCACATACAGGTCTGGGATGTCAGCCTGCCGCCCCCCACGTGTAGAGCGCTCTTTACTTCCTGAGCCCCAGGGACCTCTGTGCCAGAACTGACTCCATCCCCTAAGCCCAGTCACCCTGCCCTGCCTCCTGCTGGGGTTTGCTTGGGATCTGAGCCCCCCTAAAATCCTCTGTGTTTGGACCGTTGCTCCTGACATGCTGACTGTTGCTCCTCTGGGCAGCTGGCCCTGCTCTTGGCTGGTGAGATGCTCTTAGTGAGCAGGGCTCTGAAAGCCAGCTCCCCTTCCCCTTCCCCATCACCTGTTCGCTTGGAGGGGTAGTTCTCCATGGCAGGACTGGGCCATCTGAGACTCCCAGGAGCACTGGGGTGGGCTGGCAGTCAAGGGGCCTCTGGGTTGTGTGTCCTGGTGAGGGGCCTTTGAGTGGCGCATGCCTTGAGGCCTGAGGGTTGGTTACTGTCACGGTCCTGTGACTGTCAGCTTTGACCCTAGAGGGCCTCTGTGTGGATCCTGAAGAACAGGCTGGGAGCCGTTAGGAGTGCTGACGCTCAGTTGGGATGTTTGTTAATGATCCACCTAGAAGTTCACAGCCTTCTCCTTACTTCCTGTTGTCTCTCCACATACCATCCCAGCCTTCCAGAAGCAGGAACTCAGAAAATGGTAGTGCCCTCAGAGGAGCCTGTAGTCAGCCTCGAGGGCGGTGCAGTGTGCTGATTAGGAGCAAAGACTCTGGAGCCCGATTTGTGGGGTTTGAATCCCAGACTTGCCTTTTATAGTTATTAGAATGTAGGCTCAGCCAGGCGTGGTGGCGCATGCCTATAATCCCAGCAGTTTGGGAGGCCCAGGCAGGCAGATCACTTGAGGTCAGGAGTTGGAGACCAGCCTGGTCAACGTGGTGAAACCCCATCTCTACTAAAAATACAAAAATTAGCTGGGTGTGATGGCGTGCGCCCTGTAGTCCCAGCTACTCGGGAGGCCGAGGCATGAGAATCGCTTGAACCGGGGTGACAGAGGTTGCAGTGAGCCAAGTTCGTGCCACTGCACTCCAGCCTGGGTAACAGAGTGAGACTCCATCTAAAAAAAAAAGTGTAGTCTCTTTCTGCCTCACTTTTCCCATCTGTAAAATGGGCTTGAGGATTTTTTCCAGTTAATACATGGAAATACTTAGAAGAGTACCTGGTTATTATTATCACTGTGACTTGGGAGGTGGAGGGAGGATTTTGTCAAGGCCTGCAGTATCACTGGTCCCAGGGGCTTTCCTGGGTGGGTGCCCACAGCAAGAGGATGGAAGTCTGCGGCATGTGCACCAGCCAGTGGCTACAGGAGTTTCCCTCCACTTGCTTCCCTTCTGGCCCTGAGCAAGCCCTGTTTTCCTCCCTGCTAACTTAACGACCACAGGGGAAGTTTCTGCCCTTTCCTCATTGAAGCCACTCACCTTCAGTACAGAGCCACCCAGGGGTTCCTGAAGCTGTCCCCCACTGCCTTGCCCTCAGGGGCCTCCTAGAAGGGCTGTGGGTCTCCCCAGAACATGGAACTGTAGTGATGGGTATCCCTGGGGCTAGGGAGTGAAGCTTGGGAAGTGAGTGGGGTGAAAGCGGAAGGCCTTCTCAGGCCGGTTGCACGGAAGGGGAATCCTGATTTCCTGGCCAGATGCTTCTCTGGACAAAATTCCCAGAGTCATTGTGTTGTGGCACCTTAGGCCCCTGAAACAAGATGGGAGTTTCTGACAAAACCAAGGGCGGTTATTCTATCTGGTTTTGCCTTCAGCCTGTCTTAGACTTTTATGGCAGCCTCTTTACCCCTCTCAACTGCTGGCCGTGTCCCCTGCCACCCTGTGGAACAGCAGGCTCGGAGAGCAGCCAGTGAGATGCTCTTAGTGAGCAGGGCTCTGAAAGCCAGCTCCCCTTCTTCTTCCCCATCACCTGTTCCCTTGGAGGGGTAGTTCCCAGCCCTCACAAGTCACCTTCAGTCCTGGCCCTTCGCTGGGACTCTGTTTGCCCAGGCCCTTTCATCAGGTATGAGGACTCTTGGATTAGAGTGTTGTTCAGTCAAATC